CTGATTATACAAGAACTAAGTATTTTCATCAAATTTCAAAACTGTAAAAGTATTCTGTTCAGATAAATGACCTAAAATCAAACAAGTCATCAAAAAATTTGGGTCCTTGACCTAAAATTTTTATCCTCCCATTCAATTCATAGTAAGAATAGGCTAGTAGCTAATTCAAAGCCGCTGCAATATTCATAATCAATCAACGAAACAAAAAATTCCCCATGGAAATAAAAAAACCCATATCCAAAATCCAAACAAAAACACACAAAAACCTTATAGGGGGTGTGTGTCAAAATTATTAAAAAAGAGATAAATAGAAGAAAGATCAAACCATCGCCATCCTTGTCAAAGAGGCTAAATGCTTCCTTGAACTCAGAGATCTGATCCTCCGTCAACTGTTCCGCCATTTTTTCTTGATTCTTTGCTCTGGTGATAATTGAAGACGTTAGAGAGAAAAGACAGAGCGTTCTGTAATTTGTACTACTGGGGGGCTGGTTTTTGGACAAAAAAAGTCAGCTTTGTATGCAGACTAGTAGATACACGAATATACACCGAATTTCCTTTTCTGCCTTTTTCTCTCTTTATTTTCATTTTTCTCCCGAGAAAATTGCAGCAGCCGTCCCTAACCTTTCAATTGTTTGTACATTTTACCCTATCTTTAATTTATACTATCCACAGACCCAAACCTTTAAAAAATATGCACCTGGGATCAAAATTATCCATTTGACCATTAGTTAACCAATAAAATTGAGTTTTGTCCAATATAGAAGGGTAACTTTGCTATTTAACCCTATAAAATAATTAAAATAAATAACTAAAATAAAATTAAAATAAATAAAATTGAAAAACTATTCACCTCCTTCTTCAATCCACCCCACCGTCCAAATCCACCGAAACAAGACATTCGTTGGCGGGCCCTCTCTTTGAAGATAGAGACTCACCACCGTCGCTACAAACTGATCCTGCTTTTTGAAGATAGAGAACTGACAATGCCATCTTGAAATTGTCGTTAAATTAATTCCATGGATTCGGTCTTCATTGGAAACTTCATTAGATTTCCCACGACAAAGGCGGTATGGGATGCCATTGCAACCACTTGCTTTGACAGCATTGACACTTTGCAAATATATGAACTACGATGATGGGTGACTCAACTGAAACAATCGGGTGACTAAAAATTATATACAGATTTGCAGGGGTGGTGGCGTGAAATCGACTCCTGCCGTCCAAATCCAATGGAATGCACTAAGGACATCTAACACTACTACGAAATGCTTAAAGAAAATCTCTTCTACACCTTCTTTGACAGACTTGATGACCATCTTAATGGCAATTGTAGCAGTGTATTATAGATATGCGCTTCCTTTCTATAGAACAAATCAACGCCCATATGCGTAAATAAGCCTTTCGACAAGAGGTGATGAGACTCCGACAACTTCTCCAGTGCAATTTTGGTGGATTTGCACTGTGGTTTGGGGTGGGGTGGGGTGGGGTGGGTTGAAGAAGGAGGTGAATAGTTTTTCAATTTTATTTTGTTTTAGTTATTTATTTTAATTGTTTTATAGGGTTAAATAGCAAAGATACCTTTTTACCCTTTTGAATTGGTTAAAACTCTGGGGGGGGGGGGGGGGGGGGGGAGTGGGGGGGATGGTACTTTGAAAAATTTGTTGGCTTAGAAAGTAAGATAAAATGTCTTAAAATCAAACGTATTTTTTCTTCTCAGAATTTCACCATAAAATTTCCTATTAAATTTCTTGTATTTGAAATTCTTGCTCTTAATTGTGCAATGGCCAATATATAGAAGATTGATGATTAAGTTTTTAATCATTTTTATGATTTGACATCTTCTTTATTTAGTTGGAATCATGATTAAGTTCTCATTTTCAAAATTTATTGATATTTCTATTTTCATGATATTTGCTTATGGCTCAGAAACACTCTGCTTTCATGCAAAGACATGGTACACTAATATCGGTGCTTTGTAGGATTTTTCACTAAGAAGAGCTTCATCCACGTCTTAGGTTGTTTGAGACCTCTAATCATAATTTCAGATGAAGTGTTAAATCCTACATATTCCTTAGTTCAGGCAAGCATCAACGATCGAGGTGTAATTTATTCCATGACATGTTGACTCACGATTGAACTATTTTCGTAGTAGACGTGACATTCACGTAAGCTATAATTATTCATAAATAAAACATCATTCCCTCAAATCCAATTTTCATATTTATGTGGGTTGAAGAGTTTTTTATATTGCTTTGGTTTTAATACTGAAATATTAAAACTACAAGTTTTATGTTATCATTGCACTTCTCTCTCTTTTCTTTTTGCCAAAGTGTCATACTAAGCAGAGATTGAAACATGATACACTGGTTTTTATATATTTCAAGGCATCTTGTCGAGGCAAAAATTTGAAAATCAAAAAAATGGATTCTTATTAATTTCGAGAAGAGTTCACACGAAGTCTAAAGTTTAAAAGGTGGCTCCTTATTCATTTCGAGACATCTTGTCAATACGGAATCCAAACTTAAAAAGCTAATCTCTTATTCATTTCGAGACTTCTTATCGAGAGAAAATTTAAAACTTAAAAAATTAGCTTCTTATTCATTCAGAATCTTAAAAAGTTGAATTTATTTTAAAATTTATTCCCCTATAAGTAAATCTTTTAAGCTTAGTCAAAAAATATGATGGGTACAAGAATTCAATTCCCATTGAAATAGTGGGAATATGAGAAATGCTATGGTGACCTCTCATAGCCATCTTTTATGATCAAGTCAAATTTCAAATCCATAGTGGAGATATTTTTAATTGACTAAAATTCATGGGGGAAAGAGTAACCAATTCCACTCAACTTAAATAATTGGCAAAAGAAATAATTTTTTCTTCAATCCACATTTTTTTCCATTTATTTTTTCTCATATAACTAAGGCCCCGTTTGATTGCGAAGGAGGAAAAGGAAAAAGAATTCCACCTAAATTGGAAAACAAAAAACCATCGTACCGATAAGAATTCGTTTTCTATGAAATCGATCAAAAACGTGCTTTAAATAATTGTGTATAAGAATTCGAATTACATTTCTATATGCAAATCAAACAGTCGAAGTGGAAATTATTTTCATTGGATATGACATTTTTTCATGGAAAATGTTGCAATCAAACTGGGCCTTATTGTAAAAATGAAAAAAAAAAATGGTTTCTAAAAAAAAAATGTTTTTTTCTTACAATTTTTAAAAGAAAAGATTCCATTTTTTCCTCTCCCCCATTCCCAAAATCGATTCTCCAATAATAATTCATCTCTCTCCCCTCTTCTCCCCTCTCTCTTCTATATATATACACGCAGAGAGAGAGAGAGAGAGAGACTGTAAAATACTTGACTGCATAAATCTAACCCCAATTTCCCAGTGGAATTTACAGTAAAAGTGTTAGTTCAAACGGAACCATGGCTGGGAGGGATTTGCTTTTGTTTGTGGCAGTAACTGTAATTTCTTCATCACTAATGGCGCCAATGGCGCGTGGGAATTCCGATGGCGACGCTCTTTACGTGCTTCGCCGGAGCCTGTCCGACCCGGATAACGTGCTTCAGAGCTGGGATCAGAATCTCGTTAACCCTTGCACCTGGTTTCACGTTACCTGCAACCAAGACAGCCAAGTCACTCGCGTGTACGTGTGTATATATATATATATATTTGTGTATCTATCTTTAATATGTATATGTTGTGTGTGAATTTTATTTGTTATTTTTTAGTAGAATAATTGGTTAAATTTTGTATGGTTAGGTGTTGAATTAATTGCTTTCTTGGAATTTAAAGCAAAGCTGTATTTTTTAGATTTTTAATCGTTTTTAGTTCAATTGTCATTTCTATGCATATGAAGGGTCTTTTTGAGAAATTTGGTGTTAAATCTTTTTCCCAGTTGGAGCGCAATTTCAAATGCTGGTGAATCTGGTTTTCATCAGTCCAAAAGTTTGGCTAGCTGTAGAATTTTGATTTCAAGATTCACATATCTGATTATATTAGAGGGAATCACATATAAAGCTGTGAGCAATAAAAAGGGGAAGAATTTGATGTCATCTTGTTAATTTCTAATCTACATGTACTCAAGTAAGCATGCGTTGCCACCGTGGGATTTCCTTATTAGTTTTTGCAAATTTGGTCATAATCTAAGTTTATTTTTGAGTTTTGTTTGCTACTCACTGTAGGATCACCAAAATAGTTTTGCATGTTTGATCATGATCTACTGTTTTAATCTTTGACATGCTCATTTGGTTTTGAGAACTAATATATTTATATATTTTAGTACTTATCAAATAAAGTAAGTGGGCATAAAGGGAAAATGATATATGTAATATTTCATTTATGACAAACATAACTTTTTTCATACTATTCACGAGATATCGAATCATTGTTTGACTTGAGATGTCTTAATTTGTCACAGTTCATTATTAAGAGAACATCTTTTGAAATATTATGCCTTCCTGATGTTTTGACTTGAGATGTTTTTGTTTGTTACTGTTCATTATTGAGAGAGCATCTTTTGAAATATTATGCCTTCCTGATGTTTTGACTTGAGATGTTTTCATTTGTCTCTGTTCATTATTGAGAGAACATCTTTTGAAATATTATGCCTTCCTGATGTTTTGGGACTTGATGAAACTTATAAAATCATTGTCTCTCTTCCTAACAAATTAGTGTTCTAATTCAGCACTATGTTTAATTGGTTTCCCCTTGTATCTGCGCCTTGTCTTTTGTTTTTTGATGATTATGCATCCCAAAAATGTTACTTTGGTCATATTTTCTGCAGGGATCTTGGCAACTCAAATTTATCTGGTCATCTGGTACCTGAACTGGGAAAACTCGAACATCTGCAGTATTTGTGAGTATTATACATCTCCAGTATTAATTTTCTCATAAGAAGATGCTTTTAGCTAAGCTAAGCATATTGATTTTCCTTACAAAGGCTGATTCCAGCTATTTCATTGCATTTTGTATGCAAAATTGCATATGCAAAGTAATTTATTACTTTTATATCTGTATTTATTTATTTATTTATTTTTTTAAATTCCAGTTAGCTGTTGTATACATCAACTTAAGTATGCTGAAATAAGCTGTGATCTTTCAGGGAACTTTATAAAAATAACATTCAAGGGAAAATTCCAGCTGAGCTTGGTAACTTGAAGAACCTAAAAAGTTTGGATCTGTACAACAATAATATATCGGGGACAATCCCTCCTTCACTGGGAAATTTGAAATCGCTTGTCTTCTTGTAAGTTTGAGCTCATCATATTCTACCATTTTATCTGATCCATATGTCGTTATTTCCTCAGAGTAGTAGCCTGGAGATTGCACATTTTATTATCATCTATATTAGTATGACAAGATCAAGGTGATCAGAACTTCTCTTTATTGAACCACTTAAAGAATGAAGAGCTTAAATCTCTCTTCCTCTTGTGACCATCTTGGGTCAGCCGCTTGTGAAAACTCGAGCATTTGGTTCGAAGTCAATAACCTTTGGTCTACTTTGACAGGCGTCTAAATGATAATAGGCTAACTGGGCCAATCCCAAGGACACTTACTGGTACATCGAGCTTGAAAGTTTTGTAAGTGAATTTGATTTGAGTTTCAACCATTTGTACTTTGTTTTTGTTTATCGGATAATGAAAATGTTACAATTTCTCTTTACAGTGATGTCTCAAATAACAATTTGTGTGGTCCAATCCCTATTACTGGTTCATTTGAGCACATCCCATTGGACAAGTAAGATATGAAAATATATACTCTTTTAAATAATGGTTTTGGTTATTTTCATATTTAGTAAATGTCAGGTTATGTTCATATGATGCTGTTATCTTTACTCGTTTACCGCACTAGCTTCTGTGCGTGAGCTTCTGTTCTTAGAATTAAGGATACAGAGTATATTTGCCTGAACCTAAAAAGTAATTAAAATAACTTTTGAGCTTAACCAAACATGCTTTTAGGTTTAAAAAGTTGCTTTCAAACTACTTTCCCAACCAATGTTAGCCAAAAAAGTACTAGTTTTAGTTCAAAAACTTTCCTTATTAAAAGAAAGTCTTTGCTTACATTTTAGATACTTAATAGATCGATTGGAGATTGATTGAGTGCCCTATTAGAGAAGGCTGATGGTAGAACCCGTGGACATGTATTCTCCTCTAGACTAAGATCGTCAAATTCCTTTTTCTACTTTTAAATGGTGAAAATTGTGTCGAGACTTTCCTGAGAGGTGGATTATCAAATATTTAGTTTACATTTTCTGATATATATGCGGACTTTTGGTGCATTGAAATCAAATGACTGTACAAGGGCTTTTGTCTTGGTTTTGCTTTCTTTGCACGGTCTGTCTTCTTCTTTGGCATTTGATTTTTTTTAATGAACGTTTCCATGGTTCAATACTGAGTAACCATTGTTTTCTTTACATGCAGCTTTGAGAACAATCCTCGTCTGGAAGGACCCGAATTGCAAGGACTGGCTGGTTATGATACCAACTGCTCGTAAGAAAACTATAAATAGATGCAGAAAGCTGCAGCTATTTCTTCTTTGTTCTAAATGGTGTGTTTCTTCTTACATATGAAGTCGCGTGTTGTACCTTATGATGCATATTATTTTATCCGTATGAACTATTGTCTATGTAGGTTGTTATTAATGCTTATCATGGTTATTTATGGAAAAATTCTCTCTGTAGTTAAGTTAATACAGAACAATCAACAAGAAAAAAACTCTAGTTGTGTAGTCCTATGTGAAGATAGTGGTGAGACTCGAAAACTCAAGCCATGACCAAGTTGGGGAAAGAGAGATATGAAGTGGGTGGACGGACCTACTCGGAGTTGAAGATATTGTGAATTGAGTAGTTCAAAGTTTTGAGTTGTCGTGATTTGAATTGACGGTTCGCTGAAGTGCAATTGAAGAGTTCCTCGCCTTTGTAGCGAAGCAAAACATATGTTCTTGAAATCCACAACAATTTTTGTTGGGAAAGATAAAAATGAAGTGCACAANCCTCGCCTTTGTAGCGAAGCAAAACATATGTTCTTGAAATCCACAACAATTTTTGTTGGGAAAGATAAAAATGAAGTGCACAACATACAAAATCTAGGCATGTTTAGGAGGGAAGAGATAAACTCCCAGCAAATCTTATTTGTTCAGAAAGACGAATAGGAGTGCAATTTTTACGAATGACAGGCATTCATTGACAGAAGTAATATCTGCACATAATTAATTAAAAAAAGCTCACTCCAACTGTAACTTTTACATCAACAAATCCAGTATATTAGGAGACATTGACAAACTAAAATAAGGTCTCCACATATTTTAAGAACACTTTGCTCAAATGGTAAGTTTATGTCAACAAATGCAGTATACAACAATTTTTAAGGCAGAAACAAGTTTCAAAACCAAAAACAACCCGAGGAAGGAAAATCTAGCCACGCTGAAGAACTCCAAGAAATAAAAAAAAGCACATTCTTGAAGGAAGTCACCATCTCGCTAATCACTTGAATCAACACGAACAAAAACCCAATACCGTCAAGGAAAAACACAAAAAAGGTACATGAAACACCATTATCTTCTCAATCTTATTCGCTTTCTTACTCTCTGTCGGAATCACTTGAACTTGAGTCAGAGCTCGAGCTTGAGCTTGAACTTGACCTCGACTTTTGGTATTGTTTCTCCTTCTGTGTACCGGACGTAGTTGAACTTGTGTTTTTAGGTGTTTCAAGTTCAGGATCAGGCTCTTCAGCAGCAACCGCATCCATTTCTTTTACGCCATCTTCTTTCATACTTGATTCAGCTTCGGCATACTCGTTGGACAAACTTAGTTCATACACCTTGAACTTAGCAGGTCCATCTTCAGAATTCGGCTTCAACCGTTTCTCCAAATCAACATCTTCTGAAGGCATTGTTTCCACAGCCTGCAATTCTGAAGTGGTCCCTTGCATGTTTCTGGAATCCATCACATGCGGAGCATCGCCAAGTGAATCTGGTAGGGTACTTTGCTGAACAATACCATCATGGACTTTGGTACGAACCAACGTGAAATCTTCAGTCGATGTAACATCAAGAGTTGGTAGTTCAATCTTGGTGTTCGTTAATATTCCATCCGCTGAACACTCAACTTTAGTTTCTTCGACTATCAGTTCAGTATCAGGTAGCTGAACAACTACAGGCTTCTCATTTTCTCTCTCGCACATTTGTTTAAATGCCAAATCAATATCTTGAAGTGTTTGTGCTTTGAGATCAGTCATTCGAGAATTGACATCTACATCAACTTCATCTTGATGGGACATCTCTGGCTCTGCAACCATGACTTCAGTTTCCATCAATGTTGATTTCTTAAACATATATTCAACATCTTCAATGGATTGCACTTCAACTACAGGCATACTAGAATTATTTTCTTCAGAATTCAAATTGTCTTCACTTTCCTTCGGAGGGAGTGATTCTTCTTCGGATGATTTTGGATGAATAAGGTTTTCGACATCCCTTGCAACAAACTCCCTATTTGATGAATCAATATGTTCAATTGTGCCAGTAGCCTCATGTGGCGAAGTCAAGCTTTCTTCGGAAGAATCCACGGGTCCCTCAAACTTGTTGAAGCTTGTTTGATACTGATTGACATTGAAGTCACCAACTGCATCCAATTCTGATAGCAGTCCATCAATTTCCTCTATCTCGCCCGTGTCTTCAACCATAATCTGTTCATCGACACAAGAACTAATTGCTTCAGCTGGAAAATTGCAATTATCTAATGCCGGAATTGTATCACCATTTCCAACTTCACCAATGGTGCTCGTATTTGAAATTGATAAACTTGCTGCTGTTTTCATTTCGTGAGCCTCCAATTGAGGGGAAATAAAATTTGACGAAATTTCAGAATATAGCTCCTTAACGTCTGGGATGCTCGAGCTGTCTTTAGTTATTGCTTCCTCAATTGACTGGACCAAGGTATGAGGTGCCTCCTATATCATTTCAGACAAGATCTTTAGTTTTTTTCCTGCAGCATAGCATGGCCATGCAGTGCACAATCATAATACAGAAATTACACAATAGATTACAATAGCGCGTGGAAACAGCAGAAATGCCGAAGCAGAGAACTGAAACAATAATCAATTTCTTATACTACAACTCTCTCTCTCTCTCTGATAGATCAAATTTTAACTACTGTTCCTTTCACATCAAGTGCAGACTAATTTTGTCAAAAATGTGCAAAGAAAGTCTTAATTTAAAAATTCTGCCAATACATTCAATAAATAATGTTGTGTTTTAAAAGGAAAACTAATCTCAGGATTCTAGTAGTTAGAAAAATAATGCCTGTCATAATGGTAACGGGTGTCTCAAGAATATAAGATATATGAACTAGAAAGCGCAAATCCAGATGTGGTTCACACATTCTGTTTGAGGTCAAGTTCAATCATCATAATTGATATCATAACATCCATAAGAAAATAAATCAACCCCTATAACCAAATGTAGCTAATAAACTGGAACTATAGATAAATGGTTGCCATAAAGAGAGCTAAATAAGTTCTAACAGAGTATGGAACCTTTTTATTTTTCTTCCATTACCAAAAACAAAGCAGAATGAGCAAACACCAAAGTTGAATAATTCCGTCACTTTTCAACCATCATTAGAGGTACATATGCCCCATTAGGCTCCAGTCAAGAATTTAGAGAATGAAGGTACATATATCACAATGCACAGCATATATCTCCCTTCCAGTCTAACTTTCTTCTTTTCTTCCATAAATCCTGTCCACAATCCATTCTGTGAAGGTGTCCACACACACTTCTTCCAGAGAACATGATAAAAAGTTTCAAGCCTATCCTGAGGTTCTAGCTTCAAGAATAACAAGGAAATCCTCTCATTTCTCCTTACAAGAGTGACACATTATTATGGTCGTGTTTTTTGTATTTTGTTAAATCACCGATCTAAAAGAATTGACATCGCATAAGGGATATATGCATAGCTTGAGGAAATGATTTGCGGACTACAAATGTATTACTAGAAAACTTAGCAGATTAACACATAAAGATAATCTGTGACGTGCATTAAGATGCAGTTTTTTAGTATTTCTCAGGATGAAGGTACTATTTTTGAGGAGAACTTTTCCTCACATGAAGATGTATTGATATCCACATTGAAGCAGCATTCACAATCTCCTAATCTTGTCGGTCATATGGTGTCAAACTTTCTTCATAATTTAGGCGAACGTGTATTTCATCATGATGTTCATGGCGTATCCTCACTTCTATGGACCAAAATCACTCTCCTAGGAATTGTCTCCATACTACACCCTTCTCAGATTTGTTAACTAGAACACGAAGGTTGCACCATGTTTTCAAGTTTACAAAGAGCGTAGCTTCCATATAAGGGAAGTTAAATATAGCTAACAGTGTTACTTATCATTTCTGTTGCAGAAATTGACAACATTGTACTGAAAATAGATCGAGCTTATTTCAATAAGACTTAGATTTACAATAAACACCACCCTAAAGGAATGAAGGTGCTGCAAATTTCATATCCCTATAAATTCGTTTTTCTGTAATTGATGCCCAGTTGGGAAGACTGACTCATCCTAGAATCCAGAAATTTTCGACCCTTTTGACCTCTACACCCAATTCCAGAATCAGTTACCTTAACACAAGACATCTTCAAAATCACAGCGGTGCAGAAAGACACAGAAAGAGGTAAGAATAACATCGGAATTTGGAAAAAAATATTTCACAATATAAATATTCAATAATTAGTAGTTTTTTTCTTTCTTAGTAAATTGGAAATCCTAGATTCCCTTTAGAGCAAGAATCTCAATTTAAACTACAAACTTATCAAAATATTGAAGCTAATCTAATTCAATCTAAACAAACACAATTTAATCATATTAATCTTCGACTAGATTTCTTCACTCCTTAGAATTTCCATTTCTCCCTGTTAAGACAACTTGACTCCAACAAGTTAAATAGTAAAGAGCTTCCCAGAAAGACAAGCTTTTTGGCAAATCAATCTAAACAAACATAATTTAAAGTAGTCTTTGACTAAATCTCTTAGTCCATAGAATATCAATCACATAGCTTCAACTATCAATTCATTTCACCCCTTTTTCTGGGTTAATGGTTGGTTTGTGCAGGCAGTGGTGGGATGGGAGCTTCACTCCGTATTTGTATAAGGCGATTAAGCATTTCTCAAGATACCAGATGGTGTTTCTTATGCTAAACAGAACTGACTATTCTTGGAAGAGAAAATTAAATGAAATAGAAAGCCAACATCCCAAACCACACATCCACATTTTCTTTGCAGAGCAAGACCTAAACTTATGGTTTCATTTTTATCTTTCACAAGCTGTTTACCTTAAGAGCATTAAACAGATAACATCCTCGGAACATAGGTGTAATATATGTCAATATATTAACTCTCACACACTCATTTATGTGCCCATGCTATTAAATATTTGGAATAATATTAAAAAAATGTTAAGAGTGTAAGTCTCACTCGAATTTAACAACAGGTTAGTAATCAAGACACTTTCCATTATGCAATGAAGATGTTGAATCTAATTATACAAGCAAGTGCAAGTAGACACTTATAGCAGGTTTGGTAGGAAGACATTGTGCCCTAGTTTGGCCATCATTTTTCTCCAAACTCACTTTCAACCATGCAATCTCTCAATAAAATAATTTGCAAGTTGATCCGT